AAAAAAAAAAAAAAAAAATAATACACACACGCTACACGCATATATGTGTATATATATATGTATAACTACGTACATGATCTTCCATGTGTATGAAATGTTTACACAAAGAGATTTGTCAGATTTATACATTGGTTCTGATCATATCCTTTACCTTTTTCTATATATCTTTGTAATGTTTTTATAAAGAAAACTAACAAAAAAACGTATCAGAAAAAAAATGTATTTATCGTCTTCGATTATGGATAGGAGTTTTCTTGTTAGCCGTATTGTAATCCATATCCACCAACCCATCACCGTCGCTCCCTCCTCCTCCTCCGTGCCCTAACGATCGTCTCTCTCGTCCCTTCTCCGCCGTCGATTTTCCACTCTCGTAGGTTTCTCGCAAACTTCTTGCTGAGAAAAGAACACGAAATAATCAAAATACATACAGATATATATTATATCATATTTGGATATAGATAGATAGATGGCATGTGTTCAAAATATTATATGTCGATATTGAAATATATGTATATATGTATGAAATGTTAAGATTGTTCATGGCTTACCTTTAGTAGGAGAAGAGAGGAAGAGGATGAGAAGAAGAAGAAGAAGAAGAAGGAGAAGGATGGATTTGCAGGAAACCCTAATTGCCATCTTTTCGGAAGATTTTTTTGTATATTTTGTAATGAACTTTTTCTTCTTCTTTTTGTGCATATGCAAGTGGTGAGTCTATGAGGGGAGATGGTCCCTTTTTATATTAGGACCGAAGATCGACTGAAACATTTGGAAGTTATGGAGACATATGGGTCCAACGGATGTGACGCAGATGTCCCTCTGCCCTTTCATTTCGTCTCAAAATCAATAAATAAAATAGACCGAATATTCATAATTATAAAATAAGTAATAAATTGATAGAAAGACATTCGTATTATTATTATTTTTTTGGTCGATAATTTGACGCTATATGTTGGCCACGCAATTGATTAGATTTGCATGGTACGACGCCGTTTTTGCAACGATTTAGATTCGTTTTCCTTTTATAGTCAAGTATCCAGTTTTAAAAATAAAATAATATATAGTATTTGTGTAAAAATACATATTTTATTTAAGAGCTAATGTTTCTTTTGGGATAGACGACTCTTTATAATTTGGTAGTTAGTTTGGCGTAAAATGCATTGGATCGTTTATTTTTCTACATGAGATGGGTTAAAAAATAATATATAATTCACCTTTTGACTGCAAAGCCTTGAACCATTAACTAATGGGAACCGACCATATATGAAATATATGATAATACTATATGGAAATCGGACAGAGGTAATATGGAGACGGAGTGGTCCTTCGAGGAATTATGATTATAATGTCACATATGTGTCTGTATACACTCATAACGTACCACCGAAATTGACATAAATGAGATATATA